TCTAGCACTATATGAAATAAAATTTGTAAAAAAACATGAGCAGTTTTTTTATTGCTAAACTAAAATATGACTGACACTTTCTGATAAGGATGTGATACAGAATTTCCTTCTCAGGGAAAGTAATGAAAAGGGCCAGATGTTGTATTTGTTATTATATATTTATTCAAACAAAGCCTTGACTTCTTTTGTTCTCTTATTAAACCTTACACCATTTTTATTTCTCCATCAACTGTTGGTGCAAAACTCAAAGGCATGCTGATTCTCTTTGCTATAAATCATTCATATTACTGGTAATTTTTCTTCATTATTTGATGGACCAATATGATAATCTAAACAATGCTTCTAATCCAGATGAAGATATATGGTATGCTGGAACCAGCTTGGATGAGTTTATGAGAGCTGATTGTTAAATTTTGTGGAATTTTGTGAGCTGGTTGGCAGCATAGGTTAGCCTCCATGCCTAATGCACCAATCAGTTGTTCTATGCAAGGCAGCAGAAGTAGTGAAGCCAGCAGAGCTGATTCATAAATGTTTAGCAGCACACCAATGGATATGTTGTGGGTGTCATCAAAACCAACATATGGAACATTGTCCTAAACCTTTCATTTTTATAAGAGATTCAAATTATCCATCAAACTGCCCCTCTTTATTCCTTAGATGTTATATTTAACATTTTCAATTTCTGAATGTCCTGAGTATGGATTCATATTATATTTATGTGATTGGTACAGATCCCCAAGGCATATTGGCTCCCTAGCTAGCATTTAACATTGGATCCCACCAATTCTTCTGAAATGAGAGTCCTAATGGGCTTTTGAGTATTATACTATAAGCCGCATTCCCTGTTACAATAAATGGGGTTATAGATAGAAAATAAATCTTGTTTGCTTCTATTCTCATATAATTTATACATAATAGTCAGCTATGTCAGTATCCAATTATATATTTAAACCTTCTTCCTTCCATTGTATTAAAAATTAGAATTTCACGCAACTTTTTTGCTTTTCTCTGAAAGTTGCATTCAAAGCTCCTTATATAAGATTCCCAAAATCTTATATCTTTCAGCTAAACCATGAGTTTGTTTAACTATGATTGATGGGATCCTGATAGAAAGGCCTGGAAAAAAACTGGAAAATTGGGGAGGAAACTGTTTGGAAAAAGAAAATGGGGGAAAAACTGTTTTTTTCACATTTTTTTTCTTTTTTTCACCAGGACTTCCCATCTCTAACCCTAACCCACAATGCCTAACCCCAACCCTAACCCCCACTCTCCCCCAGGACAACCACAATGCCTAACCCCAACCCTAACCCTCAATGAAATCAAGTTTGACCCTTCCCTGGTTTAATGGTGATTTAATGGCAGATTCAATGGGAATATTTTGACCCCCGACAAGATGAGTTCAAAAAGAAAGAGCTATTCTGTCGAGTACAAGAAAGGAATCATGGAGGACTCTCAGGGCAAGAATCTTACAGCTTTCTGTAAAGAGAACAAGTTGGATCTCTGTATGGTCCAAAAATGGAGAGCAGAGTATAATAACCTCAGCCAACAGATGGATGAGGAAAACACCAAGAAGCGAAAGTGTGGATCAGGTAGGCAGCCATTATTTTCTGAACTGGAACACAACATCTGTGACTGGATTGCTGACAGGAGAGCAAAGGCTTTGGTTGTTCTCAGGGCTGATATTCAAGCATTTGCCATTGCACTGGCACCACAATTAGAAATATCCCCCGAAGAATTCAAAGCATCACAACACTGGCTAGATGGCTTCCTTCAGCAATATGAACTGTCTCTAAGAAAATTGACAACACTGTTCAAGCTGCAGGATGCTGAACTTAGTAAACATGTATTTGCATTTAACTCCTTTGTTGATGGCATTGACTTTTCAAAATACCAACTGTCAAACTTGATTGCTATGGATGAAGCTACAGTGTTTATGGGCCAAGTATCTCAAACAACAATTGATCAGAGGGTGCCTCGTCAATCTACATTCCCTCCACTGGTTACAAAAGTGCACGTGTTATCTGTATTTTGGCAATTCGTCTGAATGGAACGAAAGTCCCACCTCTAATCATCATTAAGGGCAGGAAAGATAAAATTGAACGTGTTTCAGGCATTTATGTTCTTGAAACTGAAAAAGCCTGTTGCATACAAGCCATTATAAGGAAGTAGATTGATTTAATGCTGCCACTTGTTTTGAGAGGTGGCCAAAGAGGTCTGCTAATCTGTGATTCAGCCAGCACTCACCACGCAAAAGACATGAAGAAGTTCCTTGGAGAGAGAGGAATAGATCAAATAATGATTCCTGCAGGAATGACTGCCTATCTCCAGAATCTTGATATTGCAGTAAACAAACCATTCAAGGACCATTTGCACAGGGAAATCAATGACTACACTGAACACAGAATGGAGAGAAATCAGCATGTAAACTTGTGAAGCCTAGCCTGCCAGAGATCGTGACTTGGGTGAAGAATTCATGGGATAAATCACTGACAGCTGTGTTGCCAGTGCACTATGAACAGTGCACTATGAGCAGCCTACGTGGACAAGAAGTGCTCATTTAAGGAAACAAAATTGTTGGACAATGAGAGATTGGGGCCAATGGTTCTACAGGAACTGGATCACAAGAGATTAAGGCTGGAATTTGGCCTTTGGGAGAGTTGCCATATGAAGATGTTACAGAAGAAGATGACATGACTGTTTTTGAATAAATGTTGATTGTTGTACATCACCATTGTGGTTAGGGTTGCCCTGAGGGGCAGTGGGGGTTAGGCATCGTGGTTGCCCTGGAGAGAGTGGGGGTTAAGGTTGAAGGTTAGGCATTGTGGGCTAGGGACTTAGAGATGGGAAGGCCTGGAAAAAAACTGAAAAAATGTGAAAAAAACAGTTCCCCCCCCATTTTTTCCAAATGGCTTTAGAACAATTATGAAAAAACCCTGTTTGGGGGTTTTTTAGGGGTGCGATGCGGCTCTGGCAAAAGCAGCTAGGGATGCCAGGCTCTGAAACTGGCCCATTTCTTTCCAGCAGCTGCCCAGGTCCGCTGGAGGGAAGGCCAGCATGTACCATACCGGTACTGAAATGTGGCGGCATTCTGGCGGGGAAGGGGCAGTTGGCATGGGTGCTGCAGGCAGGACGCCCACTCATTTCAGCACCCTTCTTCCCCGATCCTCCGGGGCTCTGCCATTGCTTTGGCCCTGGGCTGCTGCCTCCCGGCTCACCTCTCAAACGGGCCAGGCCAGGAAGGCAGCCCCCCAACATTTCCGGGGCAAAGGCCCCCCTGCTTGCTTGGAGGAGCATTGGCCTGGCTGCTCCTGCCCCAGTGCCCTTCCTGCCACCGTCCAGCACAGCTGCCCTGGGGCTGTAGGGGCTAGCCTGGCATGGGAAGGGCACGTGCACCCCTCACCCACTCGAACTCTGTCATACAGTATCTTTACCATAGTTGGTCTGCCAGCATGCTCTGAGGTTGGCCCCTCGCCGCTGTGCTGCATCTACAGCCCATGTGCAGGCTATGCCATGCCCCGCCGTCTGCTGGTAAGTAAGACATCTCCCGAAAATAAGCCCTAGTGCTTATTTCAGAGCCCAAAAGAAAATAAAACCAGGTCTTATTTTCGGGGAAACATGATATAACATGTATGGTTTAGTAAGAGGTATACTATGAAATGTGCAAATTACTGGGATACACTTTACTTTCCTGGATTTGATTGATTTTTTCCCCCCTAGAAGTGCTCCCACTTCCAAATCAAGGCCTATATATCTGCTTTTAACTGAGAAATTTTGGGGAGGAGTTGGAAGGAAAGGTCTTTGTTAAATAATCTGACTAAATGGATGATGTAGGAGGTTTTTATTGAATACAAAGTTCTGCAGGATGGAACAAACAAGGAAAATGTGCTGGGAATATTCAGCATCTTACCTACATATTGTCTCATTGATAAAATGTAGCATAAGTAATTGTACTTATCTTTTTGTGACTTATTTTCAAACTTAGTTCATATTGAGTGAAGTGGCAGTAATCTGCACCAGCAATTTAGTCCCAGGGGCCATGTAGTTACTTGGGTCTGCTTTGATTCATTGGAATAAAGATTTCCTGCTATCTCTGCTTGATCAGTTTTTTGGATAATACGGTGACATATTTTTTTTGCTTTCTGTGACCTTCCTTAGGAAGATGCTTTGCCTTATTAATGGATAATCATGACCTGTGCATATCTGTATCACTGCACAAAACATTTTTTGAAAGACAACCTTTAAAGTCCTTGAAGAGGTCTAATATATTGAATAGCCAGCAATAACTACTGCCTATTTTTAGAGCAGTGCAACATAAGTTCTGTAAAAAGCATTGAGGATATCCAGTCAATTCTTCTGTCTGCACCAGATATTGGTGCTAGGTTGCCATTCTCTATTTAGCGAAAATAATCTATTTTTCATTTTGCAGTCCTATAAATATTTGCTTAGTGATCATACTACTTTATGATTCTCATGTTTCTGTTGATCAGCACAAGAATCTTGCTAAAGATAAAGCAGTTAGCAATCAAAATCAACATCAGATAGATATTATTTCTTTTCCTTTCATCTCTTTCTGCTACATTTTTCAGTAGTTCTCAGTATATGTTACGATTAAATTCTGATAAAATTAACACTTTTTTATTGGACACCACACTAAGCTACATTAATTTTTCAGAACAGTTAGATGAAATTTTACTTTCTCTTGGTTTTTTTGGATTTAGAATATCCATAATGATGTTTTTGTGAGTTATTATTTGTGAATTATTAAAATATGTGGAAATAAACAATAGCTTATATTTCAGTTTAATGATGTACCCAATAAATAATGGGTTATAATTTGTAACTATCATTTCCTGCTTCTAAACCTGCCAAAAACATATGGTTGATCATTATCAACAACTGAATGGCTACTTGGCGAGTTCGGCGTGGAATTCTTCTAATTTTATGCTTTCATAACCATGTTGGTTTGACTTGATTTTTTTTTCTTTTTTTCTCCTATCTAGCATCAAACTTTTGGCTGTGCAGGAGTTGATTGATAGAGATGCACTTGAAAAGGTACCTTTACTCTTTCTGTAGAGCAGCACAAATCTGTAAACCCTCTTTCTTCTGTTAGTAGTATTTCTGTTTACTGCTACTCATGTCTTATAAGCATATACTTATACTTCAGATTACAAAATGTGAATGTGTGTAGTCATGTACCCAAAGACTATTCTCTTTATTGCATTCACAATCTAATCAGATGAAGATTTGAAGCAACGATTATACTTTGCCATTCAGTGCCAGAAAATTGAGTTGAACCATAATAAAAACAAAATTGGAATTTCATTTTAATTGCATATTCATTTTAATAACATTAAACATAATGTAATTTCTTTCCATTCTTCATTTTATAATTTCTTTTTAATAGCACATTAAAAATAATAATTTGCTAATAACTTTTGGAGATTCCTGAAGGGCATCCGTTGCATTAAATATTGTCCATCATACATAGGTAGCCCTCAATTTATGATGATTTCTTTAGTGATTGTTCAAAGTTACGATACTGTTGAAAAAAGTGACTTACCACTAGTCCTTCACAGCATACTGAGATCATGTAATGGGAAACAGCATGTATTTATGATGGTTGCAGCATTCTGCAGCCACATGATCACCATTTAAGATTTTCCTAGGGAGCTTCTGCTAAGCAGAGTCAATGAGGAAAGCTAGCGTTGCTTAATGACCATGGCAGAAAAGGTTTTAAAATCAGGCCAAGATCACTTCATAACCACATTACTTTAGTGATGGAGGTTCTGATCCCAATTGTGGTCATAGATTGAGAGGACTACTTGCATATAATAAACCCACATCCAAAGAATCCTGAGATGAACTTCAAAGCAATTTGAAATATGACCCAGGCAATGGTGCAGAGAGAACACTTCAGATGGAGATTAAGAATGCATGGAAATTTGTTTTTTGTTTTTTAACTCTTTGGATCCCCTCTAATTTCCACCCTTTAGCTGGCACTGTACAAAAATAGATTTTCTCATAGCTCCTTGGTTTTTGCTCCCTTGTGAAAAACCAGCACATTAAATCAAACCAGTGGGTTCTGCAAGCAAATCTTGCCAGGCCTTCTTATGGGAGAGTAAAAGAGTTTACAAAGTGTAATGCTTTCATTTTGTTGCTTTGCTTTTCCAGTATAGTTTTTCTTCCATATCTGGCAGTGAATGGATAGACTGAGTTGAATGTTTAAAGTCTTGAGAGCAAATGCATTGGCAGTGATTCCTTCTCAGTCCAGTCAGCTTCACAATACACATCAGTCAGATCAGCATTACCTCATGATTAAACTTATTTTTATTTTTGTTAATTCAACATTAGTCTCACTCCCCAGCAGCCTGCTCATGAGATGACTGTTAAGCAGAAGAGAGTGCTCCTGAATTACAAATAGAATTCCTGCTTTGGTTTGGCTTGAACTGCTAAGGTGGCAGTAATTCTGTGAATAATTTTTTAAAATCAGATATGTTCTATGCAGTGTGCATGACAGCTATTATTAACATCCATAATATGGGCATGCACAAATAAAGAGGAAATAAGAAAAGGGAACCGATACATAATCCCTGAGGGAACTGATTCATAATCCCTGGCTTTATTGTATAGTAGCTAGGTCTCTTTGGACTTTTCAGTTAAGCATTTTTCCATAAAGAAAGGAAGTTTCATGAAAGCCTTGGAAATTTAACTCCACCTCAGGTTTCAGTGTATTTATTTTAAAAGAGTAATAATTTGCTTTATCAGAATTAAATCTGTATGATATTCAAGTGAGACTGAGGGTGTTTTCCTATGCAATATATGGACTTAGGTAATAGGTCTTTACCACTCATGAGATTTAGTGGTTGTTTTTTTTCTATTCAGTCCTCAAAATCCCTTCCATTCACAGCTGCTGACAACTAAATAGCATTGTTTCCTGCTCTTTTAAGGTGGAAAAAATGCATCACTAATGGTATAAACCTACTTAAATAATGCACTCATTATTGTTTTTAAAATAGATGCATACACACAAACACAAAACACCTTCCTCTGAAATCTCAGGAAAAGAAGTATTTTGGCTTTGCATGCTTACACAACCACTATACTTTCAGCCTCCCAAGAACATGGCTTCCAGACACCAAAAAATAGATACCCCTTCTACTTTAAATAACTACTGTCATCAACCTCAGAGTTGTTCTCATCATCAGTTGTAAGGCAGATTTTTTTACAGTATTGTTCCCTTCTGATTTTTTTCTTAAATTTCATGCTTTTGATTGCTTGGTCAGATGTTAGTTGGAGTTTAATCAGTTTTGGCTAGGGTTCACAAATCCTAACCAAAACTGACTAAACTGGAATGTGCTGTACTTTTGAAATAGTGGCAATGGCAGAGTATGATTGCACAGCTATATTTGATGTGCTTGCTAGACTGTTCCCAAACTAAGTACTTCTGGCAACAACTGTAAATGTTGTAGTTATGTAGAGATTTCTGCAGTTGCTCTAAATAGTACCCAGAGTGTTCAGGAGCATCTGTTACTGCAAAATATAACATTAAATATTAATTTACTAAACCTGTCATGACCATCTTCTTGAAGGAACGTAGTGCGTAGTATTTTTATAATCCTTAATTGTTTTTTATTATGATTTAAGATCTTAATTCTAACTTCTAAAGCCAGAAGATAAATATGTATAGAACTGCAAATTTAGTTTGGTGGTCTTTGCCATTCTCTTGAATACTGAAGTCATTATTTAATCCTCATATCAGGAATGTTGTAACTCGTGTTAATCAACCCTTCCATTTTACAAGGAAGAGACAATTGATGCTAAATTTACATTGCCTTACTGAATCATAAATTAACAATTCTGTTGTTTAACATTCAAATGAAATCCCAATTTGGATATATTGGAACAACTCCAGAATCATTCCTAATTTGTATTTGAGAGAAAAAATCTAAGTATTTGTTCTGTTTCTTTCCTTGTTTCATAAGAAATCCTAAAACCCATAGGACATAATGAAACTTCAGGGTTTGCAAACATTGGAGCCGCTTACATCAGGTTCAGTCTTGTGTAATTCATTTGGCTTGGTTATTTTGTCTAGCTAAGATTAATTGTTAAACAATCCAGCCAAAACGTACTGTATTAGTACACATTGTCTTCAGTTTGTGCAGTTTGCTAGTTTAATTGAATCAAATTGAATTAATTAAACCAAGCTGACCTGATAAAACTATCCTTACACAACCTTTCAGTTGCCCATTTTTAATTTAGTGTTTAAATTTAAATTGTGACAAGTGCCTATCAACTGTTCCTGCAATATAAATTACAAACTTGTGACTGTTGTTTGGGGGTATGCTTAACAATTTGCTGGAGTTTTTAGTTAATGTTTTTCTGTTTAAGCTTTTAATAACATTGTAGGCAAAATAGCACTGCCTGTGGCACAAGAAGATGTAAAGGTGTAAAGAAGCATGGCAAACTAGCCCTGTAAAACAGGCCTACAGGTCGTTCTTGGGTTACAACCATTAGTTCAGTGACCATTCAAAAGTTACAGAAATTATTGATCCCTGGCTTACAATTACAACATTGCAGCAAGCCAAAGTCATGTAAGATCCTTGCTTAACACTGCAAGGTCCTTGCTTAATGATGGCAACCGGGACTACAGGGACTTTATAATTATAGATAGCAGCAAACTCCAGCAGCAATCTCTCAAATCTCTGTATTTGTTATGGTTCTCCTGAATAGAAGGGAAATTACCCAAAGCCTTTCGGCCAGCTTAATTAACTAATTAATTGCTCCTTTTGGCCCATGGATGCTGATTAACTATTTATGTGTATGGATTTGAAAATGATGAGCCTGCTTAGTCATCAAAGTATGTGGCCCTAAATCGGCTATAAATTTAACTATTTCATAATTTGCTTTCTTTGGGTATGCAAATAATAACATTTGAGCAATAACATTGACAGAATGCAATTCTTTAAAAATATTTCACTGAAAGAAAAAATGATTGTTCCTTTACTTTTCCCTACGGGATTTAAGATTGACCTAGAAATGCTCCAGTTTAATGAACTTCCTCTCTTCCCACCCAACTTTTTACAGTTTTGCATGGAGTTAAATCAGCCAACTCTGCCAAACATCCGCAAATGGAAGGGCCCTCGAGGATGTTGGAAGGGAAGCATTTCACAGAAGCTCTCAGGGCACCCCGAGAAGGTAGTCTGGTGCAAGTCAAAAATTGTGGAGTTTTTATTTTGCTTTTATCTAGCCAAGGAAATTATTATTACAGAGTTTTGAACTATTGGGGAAAAAAATTTTATTTGAGCTTCTGAAATTTTATTTGAACTAAGGATAGCATTTCTCCTGATCTTTTGAAGTGACTTTTCATAACTTTATTTCCAATGCACCATAATTGATTTCAGAAGGTTCTATGGTCAGGCTATAGAGATTTTTAAAATTCCATTTTAGTTATGTCTATTTACTTGTCTATATGCAAGTATTTCATTATAAATCTTACCTTGTGGTAATCTATACCGAATTCACAAAAAACTTATAAAAAATAAGAATCACAAAAATTCCATTTTGTAATTAAAAAATAATCATTTTTATAATTAACAAATACAAACTCAATCCAAACAAAATTCACATCTTCAGCTCTTTGTTCAGTAACCCTCATCAAGTGCGTGCTTGTATTTATATTATTATTTGCTTTATAGTATATATATTCCACGCCAATCAACAGAGTTTAAGTAGAATACAAACAAAATAAGATTCTAACTACCCAGGCAGTCTATATAAAGCATCAACTTTGATTGGACTCAAATTTAATGCTTAGACTGGCTGATTGGAATTAATAGTACCTTAATTTAGCCATTTCTGATGATGAATTATTTTGCTTAGCTATTTTCTTTTTTGGCTTTCAGCATGAAGAATATTCTGGGTTCCTATGGGACACAACCGCAGGGATAGAACTGAAAGAAGCTACATTCTCTGAAGGCCCACACACAAATGGCAATGGGAAACAGGTCTATCTTCACCCTTATATTGCACATTTCAAGGTAAGACTTGACTTTCCCAACTGAGAGAATTCAAGAAAGGGTTGGAAATTAATTGGCACTGGCATGATTTTTAAAGTTTCATTGAGCAATTAAAGGTGGTAGCATTGTCTTCTGGGTTTATAGTCTTGCCCTAGATAGATTGTAATAAAAATTGATGGTAGTATATTTTCCAAAACAAACAAAACTAAAGCAGAGGTCTGTGATTGTTAATAAGAATGTGTTTCCTTGCAAATCAGAAATGATTGTATTGATGATCACAGTGGTGAACAAGCAGGAGACATCTTTCATTTGTGATGTATTTGTGAACAGACTCTTGGAAATCTCTTAATGCTGCCTATGTTTGTTCCTAGATTGGAATGAATGATTTAATACTGGTTAACTTGCATTTAGTGCCATTGCCGTCTACTGGAGAAAATTCTGTGAAGAATCAAAATAATCATAAATTAGCAGTCTTTGCACATACTGTACAGGAAACACTGAAAGGTAAGACCAGCTGATAAAAATGTTAAATAATGCTGAAGAGGATCCATCACTCATTTGGCATTTATCAGCCTTCCCTTGCCTGGCACCTTACAGATGTGTTGGATTTCAATTAGAAAGTATGGATAAAAATCCTCCTCCTTTTTAAAAGTCAACTTAATGCTAAATAATGTCAAAAAATAATTTGCTGAGTGATTTAACTGGCATATTTTATGTTTAGTAAAAAATTAATATATATTGTCAGTCATTGCACTGCTTAGATATTGGAAGAATAAGGGATTAGATTTATAGTACCCATAGAGAGCTTGTTTAAGGACCACTTTTAGATGTCCATATAACAAATTAGTGATTGTTCCAAAACCGGTATGTCAGGTTGTGGTTTTTAGTAGAAATTTCCTTCTACTAAAAGTGTTTACCAGAACACAATCTGGTACTGCATGGTTATAATCATAATGCAGACAATGATAATGCAAAATAAGAAAACCTAACATTTTGTTTACAACTAAACAAAGGCTAAAAATATAGCATGACTTTGTTCAATTAATATCAAGGTTGGTTCCTGAAAGCATTCTTTAGTTTCAGAAAAGGGCCAGGTGCTTTAAGCTTAGGTGCTTAAAAATGGATTACCAACATTGATCATGAATGTAAAAAATGTTATGCCAGATTAGTTGTGCATAAGTGACAAAAAACAGCATATGGGTAGATGTTGTTTTTAAAAGCCATCATCAGGAGTATTGTCAAGGTTGTGTATCACTTTTTAGTAAGCATTGGTTTGCTTCTGCAGCCATGTTAGGTGTTGCAGTGCTTCATAAATTAATACTGTGCCTCTCTGGCACAGTTCAGTGATTTGACTCCTTCATAAGGTTCATACACAGTCATTAAATTCTGTAAGTCATCCAGACAACATTTGCCTGTAATTCATTCATGTTAGTCAAAAATGGTACCAAAATGCAAAGCCATTGTGGAGCCTATTTCCCTTTGGTTTTTGCACCTTATCCTTCATCTATTAAAGTTTGTGGCTATATGTTTTATAACATTCCTCCTTACTGTCATTTTGTTGCATACATTCCTTCCCCAATTTGATGCTATGTTTGCATGGGATTATGGGAACTGAAACTGAAAAAAAATCTTGAGAGAAACTATGAGACAGATAGGTGCATGTGCATGTAGACGTGTGGAGTCAGCCGGGTACAGCTTCAGAATCAGCTATGCAAGCCAGTTGAAAGAAATGGATATTAGAGGCAGAGCAGATAAAAGTTTGCATCCTAAAATGGACGCAAAGCTTAAAATAAAGTCACAATACAACAATGGGAGGTGTTATGGAATAAATCTGTAAAATGTACTCCAGTTGTAACTAAAAAGAAAACTGTTAAGTTTCTTAAATAATTTACAGATGGTATAAAACTTGTCAATAATTGCCAAGACAGACAATTAGTCTAATTTAATACTCCATAGAATATTAAATACTGGAAATGCCATGAGATAGAAAGAAAATTTTACCACATGTGGTAAATGTAAAAATACTGAAAAGTAGTAGAAAGAAATATTCAGAATTACTCAGAAACAGTTAGAAATCAAATTTGAAATAAAATCACTTCTTTTTACCAGACAAAATTGCAAAAATAAATCAACAAAGAAAAATCACAATTTATATGATACATTTTATGGCAATAAGATAAATGTAGGTTTAGGTTTTTAAAACCTTTGTTTGTTTGTTTGTTTGTTTATGTAGTGAACATACCTAATAGTCCTTTCACTTTTACAACAAGAATCCTGTGAGGTGAATTGGGCTGAGAGTGACTGGCCCACCGTTACTCAGCTGGCTTTCATGTCTATGACAGGACTAGAACTTACAGTCTTCTGGTTTCTAGCATGGGCCTTCACCACTATACCAGATTGGCTCTATTGTGTACAAATTACGAAAAGAAATAAGTTACTAAAGTTATCTGACTGAGAACTTAAACTTGGGGAAATCTGCAGTAATAGGAAAATTAATAGCATATATTCACAACAAAAGTTGAAATTTAAATAAAAAGGTGTGTGTGTGTGTGTGTGTGTGTGTGTGCTTAATGACTGCCATGTTTAGCCACCATTCAAATTTGCTACAGTGTTGAAAAATAACTTTGTAACTGATCCTTGTGGTTAAACCACTGTTGCAGTGTCATCTGGTCAAGATCCAGCTGCTTCACCTCCAGGAGGATTATTGTAGCATTGATGTGGCAGCAGCATAGCCATTTGTATGTTTCACAGCTGAATTCTGCCAAGCAGAGTCAGTGAGGAAATCAGCAGTGAAATTGGAAGTTGTAGTTGTGTGAGGTCTCGCTTAAGGATTATAGATGGTTTGATTGACAACTTTAGCAAAAGTTAGGTCATAAATTCGTTATAACGAAACTGGATGTCTCGCTTAATATAAAGGGAGCCATTTATGCCTGTTATCTGCAGGGTTTGATATAATATTGTGGAATGCAGTATTCGTCCTGTAGCTGAGCTCAAGGCCTAAGAAAATTGATCTTTAGCCAAGATTCTATTCCCCCAGTTGTAGGAAAACTTGAAGAGCACTAAGACTCTGACGCTACCTTAGTTTTAAAATTATGGATACAGTTGTATGAGAAGTAGGATAAAGCATGACCTTGAAAAAGGTTTTGTGCTGCTTGCTTGAATTGGTGCACATCTGTCTTAGCTTTAGCTGTTGCAAAGAACCTTCCCCCCCAAATAATAATAAATACATCTGAATTGTAGAGGTACAATATGCATTTAATGTCTATATGTTACTTCTTTAAACCTCTGTCTGGCTCCATATTTATGTCCTCATCTTTATGGTGTTACAGGGTTTTAAAAACGGTTTGGCTTTCTCAGCTACTGCCACAAATTTTGCTAGCCAGTTAGCCCGATGTTAATTTCTACTTGTCTCGTTCCAGGTGGTCATGCACAGATCAGCTATTGGATCAGTTTTGAAGCTGGAAAAGAGATGGGCCTAAAACCCTATTTGTTCTTTAAAATCAAATTATTTCTGTAAAAGAAATCACAATTTGCATGTCATGATCACATATACACAAGTATAGTTAGGATGAGTTTCTACACAGAAGCAATGGGTTTGGTGGTGGAAATTTATAATGATTGAAGCTATCAGATGTTAGATATGAAGTCTTTTTCATGCAGTTAGCACTTGATCCACTAAATTACAAATTTACTGTTAAATGTGAGTTCCCTCATCTAGTTACTTTGTAGTTTGTAGCATGTAGTTGCAATAGAACGTGTACTTGCTGCCTCAATAGATACTTTTTAAAAATAATTAATAAATTCTTAATTTATAACAAATATTGTAATAAGTTAAAAGTTTACCTTCTTAATAAATTCTAAGTTAAAATAAAAATAATAACTTAAAACTATACATTAAAACAGTTAATAACTTGTCAAATATTGTTAGCTTGGTGACTACTTTTATGCTTTTCATAATCCCAAATAATTATAATTTTCACATTAATCATGGATACTCATTAACTTCAACTTTTTTTTACTCAGTAAACTATTTAGTCATTATATAAATCAATGAATCAGTCTATCAATAGATTATACTTATTTAAATAGAAAAATGAATTAGCCTGACAAAGACCAGATTATTTCTTATAGAACAGATGGCCACTACTGTCAGTTCTGAGACCAATTAAAAGTACTTGATTAAAATAAATCTGTAGGATAGAGACTATTTTTAAAATTCAAACAATTGAAGAGTTGTGGCAGAATAAATCCATGGGAGGAATGGAGCTGTATACAAAAGTTAGGAAAGAACAATAAGAACAATTATTGAGTATCTTAAAAGGAAATAGGAGAAATCAATTACTAGTATTTGCAAACTTTTACCTACTTACCTAGACATAAAGCCCTTTTGGGGAGGATTTTCAAGCTGCAAAATTTATATTTAATGTATAAATATTTATATTTTAATGCATAAATAAGAACAGGAGGATTTAGGATAAAACTGTCTGCAGTTTTATTCCTGCACAACATTTTCTCATAACCTTTGAACAGACAGATTAGCATATTAGCAGCTCAATTTATATTATACCACATTTATTATTGTATATTAATGTTATATTAATAATTTATATCAATATTAATAACATACAAGTTATCAATATAACTCAATTGGAAAAAAAGAGTTGTCAATATCTCTTTGCTATCATTTAGTGGTCCTCTGATTTTCACAGCCAGATACTGTATGGTAGTCCTTTTATATTCAATTTAATGTACTTTTTTTTTACACAATAAACATATCTATATTTTTTTAAATGTTGTCTCTTTAATTTTGCTAAACTTAGGATTTTCTTTCCTGCAATCCAAATGAAAAAGAAACAAATAATTAAGTAGATAATATTAAATTAAGAATAATGGAAAGAACAGAATAAATAAACCTATTCATTTGGGTAAGAGAGTTATCCCCAATAATTTCATTTTAGGTGAACAAAGAGATCTGTGTAATGCATTGTCAGTCACATCACTATGTTCGCCTAATTATTTGTTTAGCACTATTGTATACTAGTACCATATTCCATTTTATAAGCAAATAAAATGAGGATAGGTTGTAATACCAACAATTTTAAATGACAAAGGGGTTTGGATAGGATTAGAACCAACATTTGAGAATAGGCTTGATGGAAGAGACTGTGGTATTATAGCACAGACATTCTCATAGAAGCGATCTCCTTAGTGGGCAGGAGTTTTGAGAAGCTGGGACATTCAGGTTGAACTGAAGGAAGATATAGCATCTGGATATCAGTTCTGACATTCTTCCACTAACCTTTTATGACTGTACTGTTCCCAATCTTAGGTGAAAAAGATGTGATTATTTTGGGTGACTTTAGTCAGCCCCCTGATAGTAGTGACCATGATTTGTTACGAAAGGAAAAGTTCCACCATCTGGTTCCTGCAAGTACATTCACAAACATCAGCACAAAGAATCCTCAAGGTTCCAAATCTTTGGACAATATCTGGATCAGTCGTGGCTTGAAAAAAATTTTCACTGGTAAGATTCTATTTTGGGAGGAGGTGAATATTGAGAACATTGAGTTTCAATTATTGTATATCTCATTGTTGGTTCAGCGACTACTTCAAATGTAGCAAGTATTATTTTGAAGTGTGCCTTTCAGTGTCATGCCAGCTTTATGAAAGCTCTTATCTTGGCACTCTCTATTTATATTCATAGTATAGCCAGATATTTTGCTTCCTAAGGAGGTTGGGAGTTGTTTCTAACATATTTAAAACCTACCAATTTGTTAAAGGTTGCTGTATGTGGATATTTTACATTAGAATAGCCAATATTTTATTGACCAAGGCCTGTATGTAACATTTATGGGAGAATCAAGGGCTATAGTAGGTGAGACTATGCTGCAAGTGGATGGATCATCTATTCCCTTAATTTAGAAGCTGAACTTTGAATATATTTGCTTTATATTATTTACATTCAACTTCTTTAAAAGTTTTACACAACAGTTTGGTATAGATCCTATCTTAGAATACTAGGAAACATATGAAGATACATAGATGATAACCTTGAGTCTTCAGATTTCCCTTACTATGTTACATGTCTAGTTTCTTTAGTATTTTTTCTCTGTAAAGTTAATTTTAATAACTTAAAAATATAGTAATTATTCAGAAGAATAATTATTATTATTTTATATCATAACTTCCTATGTTTGTTTAATTTCATTTTCTGTGTTTTGTGCTATAATTTTCTTCCAAAGGAAAATTTAAATTGTCAGCCTTGGTACTTAATCTTCATGTTTCTAAACACTAAGTAGGTTTGTACTCACTTAGTTCCTTGATGCTATAATGTTTGATGTACTGTCTTTAATAAAAACCCACATATTAATATTTAAAAGTAAGCAGCTTTCTTTTGTGTCATTATCAATATTTCTTTTGTCTTCCCAAATACTGACATTCATCTTTTTCTCCTGCACCCTTTTGTTTCCACAGGTCATTGGGCAGTTGTAAGAGAAGGTCTTACAAACCCCTGGATCCCTGATAACTGGTCATGGGGTGGAGTAGCATCAAGTCACTGTCCAGTTTTAGCTGAATTTTACCTCGAGAGGGACTGGAATAGAAAGGATCTAACTCGAAATGGAGGTGGAGTGATAGTGGAATGCACTGATGTGGATTCTAAACATGAGCGGTGATGAAAAAGATGAAAGCTACTTTTTTCTTTCCCCAAAAGATGGTTAGAAGATAGCTTCGCTCAAGGCCTGACATTGAACAAGAACTGCTGTGTATTTTGTTTTCATTTAAAAATGAATAAGCTTCTGCTTTTAACATCTCTCTTTCCTATTCCCACTTCTGACCCTTTTGTGGGTGTTTTAGGATATCCCATTGCCACTGTGTGGATTGTGACTTACGGAGATATGGAGGCTTCTGTGGCTGGATATACCTGGATAACTGCAAATAAAATTCAGTTTTTAATAGTGTTTGTTCACAATCTTCTTTCTTCTACTTCTAATAAAATACTATAATTGAACCTAATAGCTCATGGAAGAGCAGACGTGGCCAACCAGTTTTTAATACATTCTGTTATCTACTTGAGATACTTCAGCAATAGAAAAGAAAACTTTAGTGCTATTGGCATATACTACCCAACTTGTACTTTACTGTAGCCAGTAGTCTTGACCTAGAGATAAGTCATGAGCTACATCATTTGAAGTAAAAAAAAAAACCACTAAAATTCATTGAAAAGCTGATCACTCTACAATTAAGATTATGTTAGCTTTATCTGGTGCCTTCTAGATTGCTTAATTAAAAATATAAATAAATAATTAATAATTAAAACTCCCTAAGTCCCAACTAGCATGACTATTAGAACCTATTTATTCCTAGAACCTATCAAATGAAATCTAAACAGCCTTTAGCCAGTTCTGTCCATAAGGGCATGCCTGATTTATATTTCATTCATTTAAATAGTATACGTTCATTAACTATTATAGTTTGAAAGTATATGCAGAAACAGTTCTTATAAGGTATCAAAAGGTGGTACATGAAGAGGAATCAATTATATATAATACAATGGTTTCTCCCAACTTTCAGATACAGTAGGAATATAGTTCTCAGAATTCCTGCTCTTGAACAAACGGGGAATTGAATCTCCTAAAACACGAATGCTGGAATACAGCATTACCTTCATTTGCCTGTAAACCACATTGCAAAGTTTATAGAATTACCTCATAAAGCAATAGTTTTTTCCAAATAAACATTCTAGAAACAAGCACAAACCTTTTCTAAGAATTCTGCACATTCTTCACAATGTCATTTGATGTTGAATTCTCAGGTAGTATGTATGGAAAAAATTATGTGAACATAACAAAGGATGCTGAAATCAGGTTGAAATGACCCAATGTAATTTCTGTTCTTAAATTATTATCCCCTATAAAGAAAAATAATCTGTTGCTCCATTCATTAGATTGTGAAGCTTTAGCCAGGGAAATCCCCCCCGTCTAATAACTAAATGGAAATTGGAGGGAAGTGATAAACAATCTTTTGTGTTTGTGTTTCATGTTTACTCCACTTTTATCAAATGCATTATCTAGCAAAGATAATGTTGGAGAATATTTCAATCCAATTTCTTGCTATTCCTTTTATTGAACTTGGGTTCAGGAGGGCATAATTGGATTTGTACTCTGAATTCTGTTGGTTCAACCTTTGCTTTTTTGGATGTATCTCCAGATTCTATACAAGTAAAATTACTATTCTGAATCTATTTTTTTTTAAATCTGGAATTTGTACAACTTGTACATGAGTATGTATGTATTGTAATCTAAAATAACTGAGGAAAACAGATTGGGAAAATTGCTTTGTATTGCAGCCAAATAGTTGGTTGACTTGGTATAACTTCTTAAAGCATGCTTAAAGCCAAACATATAGAATGTTTCATAATCACTCATCCGATAATATAAGGGTACTATTTAAATTGTGATAAATTGGTAAAAGAATTGCACTTGTTAGTTCAAATACATTTATCTAGCAATATCTTATTTCAGATGATATATATAACCATAATGAGACTGTCTGGGGAGAGACATACTTTATTTTATTACTTCTTTTACTGTTTCATTACAACTGCTTAACAGGTTTGTCACAATTTTAAAAATCCAGAAAAACTTTACAAAACCACCATTATAAATTAAAAATGTTTTATAAAAAGAGAAAAAAAAACCACTATTAAAATGAATTGATAGGGTGGTCCTTCTGATGGAAAAATGAGTTGACTATCAAATTACCGATATATTCTAAGGTAGAACAACATGTAAATTGCACCAGATTTTTTTAAAGCATTCTTTATGGATGATCATGTTCAAATATTATTCATATATCACAATTTTTCCATATTCCTATGAAAATGACATTTGGCAGGGCAGAATGACAAATGCCTTGCTAACAATAATTTGAACATGGTAACATAGCATGTAAAATTAGAACATTCAGTATGTGAAATCTATAATCTGCATGTTTGAATCCACTCTTCAAGAATATAAGAAAATACTGCTTTCAGTATGTAAAACCTAGTTACAGATTTTGAATGATCATGCTGGCCAATAAAAATATTATTGCTGCTAAATACTTTTGCTTGAGAAAAGGGAATAAAGATAAAAGTAAGTTATTTTTGTTAAAACACCAAATTCCGTGAAAGTTATTGTGAAATTCTACAGCTACATTCTAAGATTGGATTTAGGTTTTAGATAAGAGATAAATAGAACATCATGCCAGTATTGTCTTTCTCCTGTTTCATGACAAGACTTGTTGGTCAATTCAACCAAGAATGATTCCTTTCATTTGTGTGCTCAAGTCATCATTCTTTGTAAAGATTTGTTACTTTATTCTCCCTAATATCCTGGATTATGTCTTCCCCTAGCCTAGACCTATTTTTATGCACTACAGTTGCAATGGATTTAATGGGATAGATTTAGGACAGGTAAGAAATAAATGCAGGAACACAATGATCCTTAACTGTATTAACAGGCTGTATTACGACAATTTGAATGATAGCATGCAGTTACAATACTCTGTTCTGAAATAATATAAGGCACACAGTCTATGCTACCAAAACAATGAATACTGAAGCAATACATATAATGAACATTTAGACTTTATTCAAGATAAGCTGTTGTTTAACTGGGATAATAAAGTATTATGATGAACTATCAATTTAATTGAATTTTGTTCTAAACCAGAGATCCTTAAAATCAACAGTAGTCTCTTCATTGAATTCACACAGTTCAGAAATCAATGTTGATGGATCCAACATAAATAAGATTCTAATAACAGGATATATTAATTTGCATCAAATTCAATGCATATTCTTGATCTTTGTACCATCTGTCTTAGATTGTCATTATATTGAAGAATATTTTCACAATTCTATTATGATGAATTATTTTTCCAATCTTCTTGTATATAAGGTTTTTATTCAAAATATGTAATTTTGCATCAATAGGCTGTCATTGAATTAAATAATACCAAGATATGTGGAAGGATTTGTAAAACCTACTCTAAAATGGGTATAGAGCTCTACATCCCATACTTTGTGCTAAATGTATATGTGCCAAAAACAAAAGTATCAATGTCTTAAAAAGAGAAAAACAAAAACTGGTGTCCAGCCTAAACTTTTCAAATAGGCTTCTGTGCTTTTGCAGTCATACATAAACAAATTAAAGATTTTTGTTTAGTGTACAAACCCATTTGCACTGTATATTAATCCAACAAAACATCTCATAAGCATTACACTAACTATTTTTATAACTATATCTAACAAACAGAAAGAATTTTTTACATATCAATATATTTCAGTATGGGTCTGAATAGAGGATAAAAAAAATAGAATTCCAAGTTTTATTTCTTTCCAATTTCCTCTTGTAAATTTATTTATACATGATCAAAAATAAAGAGGAAAATAATGTCATTTCCTTAAATTAAATTTCATGAAATATGAAAACATAAAGACAAGTCAGTGAAATGTTCTTAGTAAACTAATAAATATGAAAGGAGATCTTCCTTCCCTACCCTTTCACGTAATTTCCATTAGTGAATTACAATGAGACAAACTGACATCAAATGGATTATACACTGTAAATGCAAAATCCGCAAGAGCATACATCCATAGTCATGAGAGATAGCTATGTTTCTAGTGTTTTTCAAGCATTCAGTGGTATCCTTGCAATTCTAATGGTTAAAGCACAGACTTGATCCTTTTGATATAGCAGAAGACAATTATCTAAATAAATTGAAAGAAGCTAAGCCCCAAAATATTAAATAGTATACTCTAGAAAGACAATTCAAAAGCCAGTAAAATCTGAAAAAGCTCTATTGACAAATCTATACAATAATTTCTTAAAAGATAATGCCTGTGTTACAGCTACAATTTAATCTGTTTGGTTTACATATAGCCTCATACTTAAAACGGCCAGACTGGATTTTTCTTTCTTTCTTTGAAAGACAATTGAGTTTCAGATTTGTAGCTAGAGTTTTTCAGTCTTAAAAAACAGAAGCAGGTCCAAAAAATATGAGTTTTGCCAGGGATCAAAAATAAGTTCAGTTAATCCACTCTATGAGTTATATCAGAGCTGAAACATAAGAGTGACTCATGTGAAACAGAGATAGGCTGGTTTAGGGTACAAGAGCTTGGAGTTCAGTGTCAGATAGCTCATTGACTTCCATGATCTTTTCTAGATGTTCCATGTACCGAGAATAGTCTTGCAAAAAATGTGGCACCCTCATATTTTCAGTCATTCCTAAATCCTTCAGACGATCCAAATCCTCATATGAAACCTAGGCATTAGGAGAAAAAATAATTTCAGGCTTACTTCATTTCAAACATCTTTAGCTGTACCCCACCTGGTACTTCAGCATGAAACCAAAAGTGGAAGCTAATCCCTTTAACAAAAATAAAATGCAATGACGGAAAAACCAGCAGATGGCAGCACCTGGTTGACCAGGTCTGGTCTTTGAAGCTAAGTGGTACTGAATCTTATTAGTACTTAAAACTGAGGCTACTTGTATAATTCTGTCAAAAAAGCGTGCATATGTATACATGTACGTCCAGAAAGTCAATGGGAAAGAAGCTCAACTCAAAGAATATTGTATTTTAATCCCATTTAACATAGACATGATAGAATGAAATACTGTCCTATTTTTTAGGGGGAAAACCATCTATCATTTTTTCAGTAGACATAAACCCATTTGTGGAGGTTACAAAACATTACTATACCAGTATTTTGAAAGCAAATTTATCTATGTCACAGCTATTTCTGGAGCAAGTAAAATTGGGACTCCAGAATCAGTCACTTGCAAAGACAACTTCCTCTTCCAACAATCAAAGTCCTTGGATCAGCAGACCTCTTCTGGACTTAGAGGTTGGAGGAAGAGGATATTTCTTCTGTTTTAGTAGCTTTTACAAGTTGTCTCTTCTAGCTCCTCAAACAGTTCTAAACCTAAGAAAGGAGAAATAGAAGGTATCCCATTCTGTATTCTCCTGAAATAAAGAGGGATGGTTTCATGTAAAGTAATTTTATATTTTCAACTATTTTAAGCACTACAACCATAAATTAACTCAGGGATATCACAAACAACTGGAAAAGATTCAGATCAACTGTCAGCATTAATATAAACACCACTAAAAAGTAACCATAAAGTCACTTTTCAGAAAAACAGTAAAAATAAAGGTAGTCCTCGACTTACGGCCACAACTGAGTCTAAAATTTCCATTGCTAAGCAACACAGTTGTTAATTGAGCTTTGCCCCATTTTATGACCTTTCTTGGCACAATTGTTCGGTGAATCACTGCAGTTGTTAAGTTAGTAACAGGGTGGCTTCCCCATCAATTTGCTTGTCACATGACACCTTGTCATAAGGTGATCACATGACCCTGGAACACTGCAACTATCATAAATACATGCCAGTTGCCCAGTAACTGAATTTTGATCAACTGACCACAGGGGATGCCATAATGGTCGTAACTGTGAAAAATGGTCATAAGTCATTTTTTCAGTGCCATTGTAACTTTGAAAGGTCACTAAATGAATGGTTGTAAGCTGAGGACTACCTGTAAGTATTATCTGTAAAAGCTTTACTAAAAAGCCTGGGAGTTGTGTAAAAGAACCTGGTTGCTGTAGTCTCTAGCTGTGAGACCATGTTTCTGAGATTGGGCTCATGGAATCAGCTGGGATTGTTGCTCTCATACTGATCTCCCGGGTGCATAGCAATGTCCCTGTCTAAACTGCTAGAAATTGTCTCAGTCTTGTCAGCGGAGTTCCACAAACTTATAATTCTGGGTGACCGCAATGTGCCTTTCTTGGTGTTTGGCTTGAGAAGTGGCTCAGGATTTCATTGGCTTTAGTTCATGGACTCAGAACAGTGAATATCTAATATTCTTATTGCAACAATGTCAACATGTGACATAACACTATTCTGTCATCATAGTCAGATCATGCCCTGATATCCCTGAGACTTCTTACCCCACTTCTCTCTGCAGGGAGACTGAGTGGTCCGCCCCCCGGAGACCAAAGGTGTGCTAGAAGGAACTGGGGGATATCCGTTAAAGATTTGCTTCATGGCCCTGCCAAACCTTTAGTAACAGTCTGGACCAAAAGGCCGCTGAGACTTTGGACAGGATAGCGCTTATGTGACCTCTCATGACCCTTTGCACCCATCACAGCCCATGGTTCATGGAGGGACTGGGGGTTCTGAAAAGCTTAAGAACCATCTAGAGCGACACTGGAGGAAAGCAAAGGATAACTCTGACTGGACATATCTTAGAGCTGCTATTATTAGGCCTATCTTGTAGCAATAAAAGAGAGAAACAAAACTATTTCTCCACTCTTATTAAATCTGCAGTGTTGCCCATCAACCTTGTTCCAGATTACTCAGTTCCTCCTAGGCAGGGGTGCTCGGGCAATCATCTTCAGGGCAATCATGTTCAGAACAATTTGTTGAACACCTGTTGGATAAAATTGCTCAGATACATTCCCAGTTAGAACCTTTTTGTGGTGCTATTCCTTATAAGAAACCTAGTGAGACATATTGCCCAGTAATTTGGGAACAGTTTGACCCTGTTGGAACTAAGAAAGTGGACAGGATCTTCTTGCCATTTGTCAATTAGATTCTTGCCCTTCCTGGAGGTTGAAAGTCTCCAGAACAGTGATCATCAGGTGGGTTCTTGCAGTGATAAAGGATCTTTTAAAGAGGCCCTGGTTTATCCACCCCTTAGAAACCATCACTTGACCCCACCTGCCTGGACAACTTTCATGCTGTCTCCCATCTTCCCTTTATGAAAGGTGGTGGAAAAGGTGGTGGAAAAGGAGCTTGGCAGCTCTAGGGGCTCCTGGATGAAACAGATTTCCTGGACTCTTTTTACTCAGAATTCAGATCCAGCTATGAGACAGAGATAGCCTTCGTCGCACTCATAGACAATCTCAGGCAGGAGTTGGATGGGGGTAGTACAACCATTCTTGCTCTCCTTAACCTCTCAGTGACCATGGTATCCTGTAGGCTGATTACACAAATTGAGGCTGGGTGGCACAGTTTTGTGCTGGTTCAGCTCTTTCCTCCAAGATAGGTCTCAATCAGTGTTAATAGGGAATGAAAGATCCAGCTCCTGACTGCTCACTTGTGTCCTGCAGAGTTCAATACTCTTCTCCATTCTTGTTTACATCTACATGAAGCCATTGGATGAGATCGTCCATCATCATGAGTTGAGATATCTCAATATGCTGATGATACTCAGCTCTACATTTCTACACATGGTGACCCAAGGGATACTGTCTCTGCTCTCTCATGATTCCTGGAGGCTGTAGGGACCTGGATGGGGAACCAACAGACTTGACTGAATCCTAGCAAGACTGAGTAGCTTTGGGTGCCTGGAGACTCAGGATCCAGGTTTTTGTCATTGTTAGTTCTGGATGAAATAAGGCGAGCTTTTGCATAGCTCTGGTTTATGCAACCAGCTATGACTTTTCCTGGATCATGAGTCCTTTCACTCAGTTACTCAAGTCACAGTCATCTCTCATCTGGATTACTGCTATGCGCTCTATGTGGAGCTACCCTTGAAACCCATTCAGAAGCTTCAAATGATACAAAGTGCAGCAGCAAAAGTAGTCTTTGCTGCCCTTAGAATAGCCTATATTACACCTGTGCTATGTGAAGTTCAATGGCTACCGGTCTGCTTTCAAGTGCAGTTCAGGGTATTGGTTATGACCTTCAAAGCTCTAAATCAGTGGTTCTTAACGTGGGCGATATTGCCCCCCAGGGGGCGATTTTGTTTTTCAGGGGGGTGATGGAACTAAAAGGGGCGATGCGGGGGCGAAGGAACTAAAAGGGGGCGATATGGGGGCGATGGAGCGAGAGGTTTTGGGGACACTTTTGAGACTTTTTCGTACAGTGAATGGCTGTATATCTGTAGTACAAAAACATCAGATCGCTCGCTATTAGTGGACTGAATTGTGTTTTCAAATATTCCTCCAACTAGCTTCAGTACAGAACGTCGTACATATGTGAATACGCATCGCTGATCTTCATGCGCATTGCGCAGCAGCCTCTACCCATACAGTGGCGCGCCATTAGCCAGAGTATGGGAGATATGGGAAAAAGACTGGAAATAAATTATTTGCATCGATATGTTCTGATGACAATTTTAAAGAAAACAAAAAAAAGTGTTTGCATAAATTGAAGAATTATTTCCTATGTTGTGATTGAGAGGTTATGTTGGGGGAGGGGGGTGATGACAACTTCCTCATTGGCTCAAGGGGGCGATTTGTTCAAAAAGGTTAAGAACCACTGCTCTAAATCATATAGGTCCAGGTTACCTGATGTGTTGTCCGACTGGGACAAACCCATACTATTCATGCCAGCAGAGAGGGCTTACTATGGATCCAGTCGATCAAAGAACTCCACTATCCGGATCCAGAAGAAGAGCCTTTTTTGTTGCAGTTGCCCATCCTTTGAAACATCTGAGCCTCTAGTAAAATTTGTCCCCACCTTTCTATTCTTCCACAGTAGCCTGATAACCTGGTTCTCCTGTTTGGCCTGGGGACCATATAAGGGAGTTCCTTGCTGGAGGTGGCTGCTGATTGATGGCAGACTCCCCCTCCCCCTCCTTGCTCTCTCCACACATATTTTTGTTATCGTATTGATGTATTTCTACTGTTTACTTTTTATTGTTTATTTTAATATTCTATTATTTTATTTCTGTTTTGTTTACATTTCATTTCTGTTTATTTTTTTACACTCTTTTTATTGTTGTCAACTGCCTAGAACACCCCTCAATGAGATGGGTGACAAATGAATTTAATAATGAATGACTAAATGAATGAATGAATGAACAAATAAATAAAAGCAAGAGGAGTGGGAGAATATGGTATTAGTAAATGGAATATTTGCCATTTATTTACAAGAATATTAAGACCCCAGACTTTTTCACTTGCATGACAAAACAAGTCATTAAAATTCTTCAGATGAGCCTTGAACAAATTCAGCATCTCCCAATTCATGAAATCAAAATATCTATCATATTTTCAACATGTTCACTAATCTTCTGACTATTTGATACTTGTTGCTGTTGTTTACATGTCAGCTTTTAGTCTTAAATAGTATATTTGTGCTAGAAACAGACAAACCATATTTAGATTGATATTTTCTTATCCAGGCATTTACTCACCTTTCCTAGAGCTGTCAATAAGTAGAAATCAATAGAATGTCGGTATCTCAGAAGTCGTAGGATGCCATCCAAGTAGACCTGATCTTTACTAAAGCACCCTAAAAGAATCAGAAATGGTGGAGACTTTAACTTTTAAAACTTTTAAAAATATAAAATATTTACTACAGCAGCATTAAATGATAATTTGAATGGCTAATTTTTAAAATAAAAATAAAATGAAAATGTCATACGTACTTACTTGGAAATAAATTTCTTTGAAGTAGTTGGATTTATAACTTTAATACAAAGAATTGTGCTAGAAGACTGCAATCTCAAACATTCTCAACATTCAGTCCCATTGAACTTAGTGACTAAACAACATATAGAATCCAGATGCATATTAAAAGATTAATACTTCAATCCATACCCTACCTAAGAGATTTAGTTATAACCGAAGTACATCATACAAAAGGAACTAAGATTAAAGTTTAATTCCTAAAATCTGCTTCTGTAAGACAAAAAACTATTACACCAAGTAGTAACAGTTTGCAATAGGATATCTTGTGATTATTCACTTCCATAAAGATTTACAATCAGGATACTAATACTTTTAAATCCATGCATTTAATCATAAACAAGATTTAACAATGAGAGGAGAATTCCCTGGGATAACACTACAATCATGAAGTTGAAGAAAGTCATTTATGATTGTGAAGATCAAAAATCTACATAGAATTTTCTTCGCATAGTCACTACTAAACTTTATTCTTAATAACTGCAACTACTTATTGTACTGCCTTGTTCCCCAGAAAGATGCCTTTTACTGGTAAAGGATGTTTTCAGGACTAAGAGGTACACTTCTCTCTTGCTGTTATCCCCCATAAGTCCCAATTTCAAACAAAATCTGTAGGTGGTAGATAAAAGAAAGCTTACCTGGTTGTGAAGTATCAGTCCAACCCCTCTTGGCTCGAACGCAATAATCCCACCTAGTATTGGGATCAGTGACAAACCTCCCAATGTCCTGAAAGAGGTCTCTGAAAGACATTTGGCTGGCTTGGTAGACAGTATAATACAGGAGGGCGGCCCGCCACAGGAAAGGATCTTTTCGAAAGAGAACACTGTGAATACTGGCCAGGCCTTCCTCAGTGGGGTTGATGGGTTTTAACCCATGCTTCCGGCGCCCGCTCCAGTTGTTCCATAATTGGCTATTGTTGTTAATGCCCCTAAGATAATGAGTTCCTGTAAGAATGCACCAACATATATATATATGCAATATCAAAATGATTACTGAAAATCAAGGCAGAAATTGAATCAGTCCAAACTTAAAACTGTAATGGGTAAAATCTGGTTCATACTCTGTGCCTTTCTTTTGGCCGTCTATCACTCTTACTCTATTTTTTTGATCACAACTTACTACTTTCTAGCACAGTCCTTCTTTGAAAGGAGGCTATCATTGTCCTTTTTGAGAGGGGAGCTTGTCTCTTCCCTAAGCAAAACAGGAAATCCTTTAAGGTTTTTACTTCAGATTTTGATTACAATAAACAACTGGATGGTCAAAGGTACCCTAATATTGACTTAATGACAATGATCCTTCTACCAAACCAGCAGGATCTGGCCTGCCTTGCTTTGTCTAGTCGAAATTGAACAGAATTAGGTGTGATACTGGAAGAAGTGCCTTTGCCCTGTATCAGTGGAGATGGAAAGAGTGTTGCAATTGTGGTGCTCATATGCAAACTATTGTGCATAATTGCCTATGCAAGGTTGCCTATGGAGTGCATTCTGCGGTTCCCTAGATCTGCATGAAGCAATGCCAGAGGCAATTGCCTGCACAGCTAAATTGGACATCCAGTTATGAGGCCACTGCCATACCCCCATAGAAGTTTTATATATACAGGTAGTCCTCGACTTACGTTTAGTGACCATTACAATGGCATTGAAAAAAGTAACTTATAATTTATAATGTACAACTATTGCAGCATCCCCATGGTCACATGATCAAAATTTGGATGTTTGGCAACTGACTTATATTTATGACAGTTGCAGTGTCCTGGGGTCATGTAATCACCCTTTATGACCTTCTGTCCAGCAAGGTCAATGGGGAAGCCAGATTCATTTAACAGCCATGTTCCTAACTTAAAAGCTGCAGTGATTCGCTTAACAACTGTGGCAAGAAAAATCATAAAATGGAGCAAATTCAATTAGCAACAGAATGTTTGGGCTCAATTGTGGTCATAAGTCAAAGACCATCCGTAATTATGTGGACTGTTAACTTCTGTCATACGCTAAATAATAATTGACTTAATAGATTAAAAAGATAACAAAAACATGATTTTATGGAACAAAGCAAACAGACTTAACAATTTTTTAAAAATATCTTTATTTTTATATGTACTCACTAAAAATATTACAGGTTAATAACCAATCGTTCAGAGACTATTCAACCTTGCAATAGTGCTGAACAGATGGTACATACAATTGATCCTCACAATATCCCCAGGGTCACATGATCAAAATCTGGATGTTCAGAGCCCACCTCACAATTACAATGTCATAGCATCTTGTGATAATGTGGTGTTCATTTGCCATCTTCTTTGCCAACTTCTGACAAGCAAAGTCAATGGGAAAGCTGGCAGGTGACCACATGACATCCCCACATAATGACCTTTAATGATTCATTTAACAAAGCAACCAGGACTGCCAGAACTGTCATCACTAAGCAGAATGATCAATTGCCATTGTAAATTGAGCACTACCCATGCTATGCTTCATTGGTGGATTAAAAAGCTCTCTATGCACATGTCAAGAAGCTGAAAACTGCTATATACATGCTGTGCACATGTCCATGTGACCCTGGAATTTTTTTTCTACTGCTGTTACTTAAGGAATCCTCCCATTAAAGTTTAGGCAACTCTTACGGCAGTGCTTGTAGGAGATGACCAGGCTGAGCCTGAAGGTGGGATCAAATGCATCATCCATCTGAAGGCCCTACACTCCTGAAAGAGACCTAAGCCGTCCCCTTGAAATCCATTGACTCTTATCTGTTGCCAATTTGCTTTGACAGTTAATAGAGCACATTCTTGTGTATAGGTTGCATTGAATAAACTTGCAGTGCTTTTAAACTCTATCCTAGCTGACAGTGCTACTTTTTTAAGGGGGAGGCAGAAACCTGAAAAAAAACTCAAGCTATTTCAGTGATGAACAGAAAGGTGCTGCACTCACATGAGGTCCAAAATAATTTTTCTGAATCCTTTTTACGTGAATTTTAATTTTCTTCCTGCTCCATCAACAATGGACTATTGCAATCACAAAGCTGCTTTTTTTTTCTGCCAGAGAGACAGAATTCTTCAATGGCCACCAGCCACTAAAGGGACTGCTCAGAATAATAACAAACTATTTGACTCTGAATCAAATGCATCAAGCAGCTTGCCCCTGAAATTCCAATTTATTTTAGCACAAATAGTGTTTTGTTACATTTAATGGGTTACAAACATTTTAAAAAAGTATTCCAATATTTTTGCAAAAGCCTGTTGCCAGCCCATATTTGCAGAAGCAATCCAAATATTGTATATATGAAGTAGCATACAGGATTTGTGTTTGCATATGAACAGATAGAGGACATGTCCCTAATTTTCCCTTTGACTGCTAATTTTATTTATTGTTATTCTGTTGTTATTATTTGTATGAATAATTCAAGGTGATAAGCATACATAATATTACTTCCTCTTCCTATTTTCCCCACAATAGCCCCTGTGAAGTATGCTGGGTTGAGAGAGAGTGATGGGCCAAACTCAGCAGCCAACCTGCTTTTATGCCTAAGGTGGGACTAGAACTCAGTCTCTCAGTTTCTAACCTGTTATCTTAACCACTAGACTAAGCTGCTATTCCCCTTAGCCATTTTCTCAAAGTTGGAGTACTTTGGGTTGGGGAAAACTCAACCAGAATAATTATTACATACCTATTTCATGCCTGAGCATCCCTTCTAACCAATGTTCCCTTGCAGTGGAAATATTGATGGTAAGAGTTGGACGGCCATTCACCACAGTCATTGAGGCCCGAGAAAGCAAGTCTTCAGAAAGGTGAACCACAATCTGAGGAAGAAAAACAAGCCATAGAAGATAAAACTATATTGGTATTCATATTTTTCATTCAACAACGTACTCCTTTTCTATAAAACGTTATTTTATTGCTTTCACTTTCAGTTGTGGATAACAGTTCAATTTTCTTTTTATTTTGTAGAGTTATATGCTTGCCCAGTGGTTAAAATGCAGTATTGCAGGCAAAATCTGCCCAAAGCCTAGAGTTTGATCCTGATAGGGCTCAGGGTTGACTCATCCTCCCTTCCTTCTGAGACCAGTAAAATGAATACCCAGAAATAATGCTTCTATATTAGAAACTGCCCAGAGAGTGCTGTAAAGCACTATGGGTCAATATATCAGTCTAAGTGCTACTGTTATACGTCTTTCAAAAACTCAAGGCAGCATTCATAGCATTTTGTCCTCCATTTCTTTTATCTATTTCTGCCTCTAAACTAAAATATGACTTAAACAACAATGGATGCATTCATACAAGAATTAATAGCTTATTCTACAAAATAACTGGTAGTTCTTGCATCATATGGCTATCATTCTTTAGACAATTGGTTACCATTAATTAATTATGTATGTATGTCACCTGTAGGAATGATGGGTACCATAAAACTACAATTAGGAATGCTGGATAAACTATAACTCTCTATTTCAAAGAAATGCTGCAAACAAATCAACCTCGCCCAGGCAGCCTTCTTTTGCCATGTATTTTCGGACATGATTCCAGATGCGACTCCTAGGCAACAGGCTTCCTCCAGTGGACTGTTCAAAATTTTCATAACTTCCATATTTTTGCAAAGTGAGTTCCATAATTCTGATAGCCTGTGACAAAAATATAGCAGACATAAATGTTAAATATGCTAAATGTTCTAATGGATTACTGTGTCTGCTCTTGGGAATTACGTGTATCACAAAAGCAGGCTGTCTATGTAGAGATTTCTTCTCTGATGAACATGAACAGGACCGATGCTTTTAAGTTCCACATCAAGATTAAATATATGAATTTTTTTCTTGTATTTCCAATTTAGGGCTAGTGTTGGAGAAACATTGATACTCAGTCTAGTTTAAGGAGCCAAAAAGCAGTTTCATGATTCTTATTGACCCTTAATATTATCCTGTCTTTGCAATGTCTCTCTAGCCATTTGTGGTGGTAACCAGAAGCACTATTCCTTGGGTAGTTACAATAGTGACATGGAAAGCAAGGCACCGGAGTTATCTTTTCAAAATCTCTTTTCAAAAATTTCTATGCTGATCTGACAGCAACATGTCTGAATATACAATTAATATTGTTCAAAAACTGTTCCAATAATTTTAACAACGATTCTCCGTTCTCCTTGCACAACCTATAAATAGTAAGGCAAATCTATTTATATGTATCCCTGCATATATGATTGTCCCATTTATTTCAAAAAAAGTGGGCAACTCTATTGTAAAAAGACATGGAGAATAGCCCTCTCTTACTAAAGGGAATGCAGCTGCTGTTGTGGCATGACAGATGACATACTGTATATCAAAAGTTCCATATCCACATTATATCCATGTCTATGAGGAGTTCCTCTCACATCTACAAATGTTGGCATGTAAGCCCATTAAATGTTTGATGCTAAAAGGAAAATATATTTCCTGCTATGAAGGAAGTTCCATTGTATTTTGTAACAAGTGGCATAAATAATTCAGAATAATATGCTCCAGTTTCCAAAGCAAACTTCTAGAATACTGATAGCTATTTATAATGCTCATTACTTATTCCACATATATATATGATTTCTGTTGAACAATCATTTCATTTAAGCAAACTGTTCCCTTTAATATTTTATCTTCTGATCTAATTGTTCACTGTGCTTTGATATTTTTCAGAGGGAACAAAGGACAAGAAGATACCATGAGATTAAAAAAACAAAAGATCAGTATCAGCAATCTAATATCTTTTGGTTTCTAATGATATTAAATTGTAACAAGCACTGATGATGTTACCTAGTTTGGGTAATGAAACATCCTCAAAAGCAAGAAAAAATATTTAAACCTGTCCTATCCCAATGTATCCCATGAACTCATATATCTAGGGTTAGAAGGCTTGATTATAAAAATGGTACATGTGCAGGAGGAGCTGAACTTTTTCCCTGTTTAACATACTACTAAGCTCCTTAGTTTGCCTTTCCTAGAACTATTATTTTTTCAAAATCCAAGGGGTGGAAAAAGGCTGTGTAATCTATTCAGTGCATTAAATCTAGACCTGTATCATCCTCAAGAGATGGTGGATTAGCCCTGCTTGTAAAAACACAAAAAGTAGGAAGAAGTAGGGTTTTTTTTCATTTTACAATGGATTAAAAATGAATAAACTCTGTCCTAATATGCAAAAGGTCAAGATGGTGGTCTTGATGATGTGACTGTATAACGCACATGTGCATTGCACTGCTGACTGCAACTCACTCCTGTCCTTGAGTGTGAGAAATCTTCCCTTCTCCCATGGAAGCCTAAGCAAAAGCTATGGGTATCTGCAAGGTTACATTAAACATCCTGTCATAAATTATGTAACCATCCATTTGCATGATGATCCATGTGTTATTGCTTTGATGATGACCCATGTGTTATTGCTTTGAGGTCACCACTGCTTGTTACAGAGGCCATTGTCAACAGAGGTTCTGCTTCAACTTTCACTTCTTAAAATGGAAAATCGTACGAGTGCTCTACGTTCTGGCATCCTGCTTTTCAAAAACTCTTTTTTAATCAGACTAACCCCTTTCTAATCTATAGATCTAAAGAAAAAATAAGAGGTATGGGGAAAGTAGAAAAACTGAATCAAAAAGAATGATGCATGAGAAATAGGTATAGCAAAAGTATCTTTACCTGTTTAAGAAATAAGCTGGATGCTTGGCTGTACTTTTCAAGTACACTGGGCAGGGCAGAACTTGCATATTCAAACTGTGGGTTAGAGGTAAAATCTGATTTGAAAAACTTGATCTTCTCCCTTTCTACATTGGAAGGCTTGATTGCAGTGAGGATACAAAACTTTCGACCAGTGGCATCTCCATCTTTTAAGCAGCTTTTAGATGTCTGCAACTGTTTGGGCTTTCCTAGGCTAAAGGTAAAATGTCTTTTACATTTGTTCTTGGGTGGAGTTGACAATCCTATGCTGTTCCCTGTTACTGAAATACTTTGTGCTAATTTAATCCCATTGCGGAGTGAGCTGGGAATAAAATAGGAGTGTCTTTTGAAACAGCACCACCCATTTGGGGGTATGAACAGTGGTGTCTTAACTTTGTGGCGTTCATTACTACGTGAGCCATGAGTGGATTTGGTGGGCTTCCGGAGTCTTTTGTGGTGGGCTGATGAATGTTTCTGACGCTTTTTTTCCTCTTTGCTCTGCAGCAAAACATTGTAGCTGCTTGTCCCTGTGGTAAAGTTGTCCTTCAGGATGCAGGACTTAACACTTCTGGTTTCATTCATGCAAAGGAATTTCTGTTCTTCAGGCTTCAAGATGGACTTCTTGGAAAGTTCTTGCTCTGGCCAGTGAAGCTTTTCTGAATAAAAAATAAAAAATCTAGTTCAATCAAAAAGGTTTTTCTAGATTTTAACATGTAATGTGAATGCAGGCATAGAAATATATAAAAGAGGTTTTAATACTAGCATGTAGACATCTCTGAGAAATTTGGATTATAGCAATTCCACATACAATTATTAATGTTAGTGCAGCAAAAATAAGTACATAGGCTGAATTTGCCCTTTCTAAAATTTCCCTATCTTTTAAAAATATAGATCTGGAAACTAAAGTTTCCTATTTAAGTGCATGAACTGTAAAACAGGAAAACCAACCTGCCTACTGCACTAAACAATTATTTAAAAACATTCATTTGCTCCGTCATTTAAAAAACTAATATGGAAAATAAAGACAGCAAAGTCAAATGTGTGCTATGTCTTGATGTCACATGAACATATGAAAGTGACATATTGTAATGGCATGATGCACATTTTATCATTTTGACAAAAATGTCAGATTCTGCAGATTTCTCTAGCAACAGGGTTTCTCAGTCTCAACCATTTTAAGATTCTAGGAATTTCAGTCCATGTATCTTAAAGTTGTTGATCTTGAGAAACACTGCTCTAGCAGTGCTTTCTCAAAAATTCTATTGACAAGATAAAGCTTTCCCATTCTTCCAAAATTCAACTAGAATGGCCATTAAATCTCCTTTAAATAGATACCAATTTCTTTCCCCATGTTTGAATGGAAAAGAAAACATGCTAACAAAAAGTTACTTTTAGGGCAGATTTTCAATTCTAAAAGTTCTAAAAACAATGCCCATTTTTCTGCACTGCACTGCAAGTTCAAACTCTGCCTGTAATAGGGAGATGAAGAGGGTTTTCCACACTTAAGATCATTTCAGCATGTGTCACCTGATCAAAATTCAGATGCTTGGCAACTGGCATGTATTTATGATGGTTGAAGTGCTGGGGGTCCTGTGATCACTTGTTGTGACCTTCTGATGGACAAAGTCAATGAATGGGAAAGCCAGATTCACTTAACAACCGTGTTACTAACTTAACAACTGCATCGATTCACCTAACAACTATGGCAAGAAAGGTCATAAATGGTGTAAAACTCACTTAACTGTCTTGCTTAGAAAGAAAAATTTTGGTTGTAAGTCAAGGACTACTTGTATGGGTCTACTTAGTGGTACTCCAGCTCTATTGTTCTTCCTCTGAATCATCCTTGTTTTGTTCATTGTTAAAATTCAACATAATTCAAATTCATAATATCTCAGCACAAGAATCAATGCTGTTTAGTAAAATATATTCATAATTATAACATATGGTATCACAAGACATTTTTCATTCTATAACAAAAGAATGGCTGAAATCACACATAAGCCAAGTAGTAACATGGTGATCTACTCGTATAAATGCCATACTTTACTCAATATTAAAAACAAGCAATAATTTATCATATTATGCAAATCTAATCAATTATTTAATTTCTTGGTTTTAGCTATTGAATTGATTTATTACTATAACCAGAAATTATAACACATTAAAGCAAAATGTAAAAAACACCAATAGATTAAAATTATTACAACTCTGAACATCTATCAAGCACTAATATGACTACAAAATTGTATAAAAGAAACATAAAACTAACATCTAATCAAAGGTATTGGATTTTAACTCTAATTAAAAAAAACACGTTGAAAAAGGCCTTGATAATTAATATAAGGGAACATATACCCTTTAAAGAGAACAGAAGGGAAAATCATCTGACCTGTATCTTAAGAGTGTCATAGCTGGAGTTCAGAAACAGGAGCATGAGAAAAGGCTGATACAGATGCAATGCCAAATCAGAATTTATGGTATAAAAATAATCACAATCAGCCAACATAGAGCTCAGAACAGTAAACAAAACATGTTTACTGTGAAAATAAATCCCAATAAAGCCATTGCTACTTATTACTGAATAATGAGCTTAAAATTACAAATATATATTATCAGAAACTTTCATAAAACATAATAGAACTTCACAAAATTATAAGATTAGATGAAGTATTAATCCAATTGATCATTAATTTACCCAATCTCTTGAACCTCTCTTGTTGGTGTCTACACTAATATTTTTCAATCTCTATGCTACACAATTTTGTTCTTCCATATTTGTTAATATAAAAATGTAGCACTTCTGCTAACTCTTCTCCTTTAAATGTTTATTTTATCTGTACCTTATTCTTTCCTATTTGATAGCTGATCAATTGCCCATCATGCCTCTTTTTCTGTAGAGTGGATTCATGAACAAATTCTCTTTGCAAATATTTGTTTTCTTCTATAATCATATTTATAAAAGGTTTCCAAGAGTCTTTCTATCTTCTTTTAACCTTACATTACTCTGATCACTTCCATGACTACTCTCAAATATTCCTGCCTTAGCAATAATTTCCCTCTGATTTCTCTGATAGTCTTAAAAATAATTCATTTTCCTCTTACAGTTCCCTATTAGGTGATATTCTTGATTTAAATTAAATCTTATCCTTACTTACCAATTGTTGGAAATTAGCACTTTGTCTCTATATATCCTGGTTACCCAAAGCTTTCATCCTCCTTCTTTGATTATCAAGAAAGCTTTTTCTGAAAGCCACTAATAGCTTTCTCATCTTTAACATTCTGTGAATATTTTTGTTTTGATTTTCTTAATGTCTTCTTGCTCTTTCCACAACACTTGGATTATGCACCTAGCATTTAATGTAGTTTCTTACTATACCATTCCTCAGTGTTGTAGGATTACATTTAAAGTAAGTAAATATCAGTTGCTTATACAAACATCGATACTCCCTTACACATTAATTCTAATAGTTACAGCCAATCAACACTAAATAATAATAATAATAATGATGATGATGATGATGATGATGATGATGTTGGAAGGGACCTTGGAGGTCTTCTATTCCAACCCCGTTCAGGCAAGAAACCCTATACCATTTCAGACAAATGGTTATCCAGTCTCTTCTTTAAAACTTACACTGTTGGAGCATTCACAACTTCTGGAGACAAGTTGTTCCACTGGTTAATTGTTCTAACTGTCAGGAAATTTCTCCTTAGTTCTAAGTTGCTTCTCTCTTTGATTAGTTTCCATCCATTGCTTCTTGTCCTGCCTTCAGATGCTTTGGAGAATAGCTTGACTCCCTCTTCTTTATGGCAACTCCTGAGATATTGGAACACTGCTATCATGTCATCCCTTGTCCTTCTCTTCTTTAAACTAGACATACCCAATTCCAGCAACCGTTCCTTATATGTTTTAGCCTCCAGTCCCCTAATCATCTTTGTTGCTCTTCTCTGTACTCTTTCTAGAGTCTCAACATCTTTTTTACATCGTGGTGACCAAAACTGAATGCAGTATTCCAAGTGTGGCCTTACCAAGGCATTGTAAAGTGGTATTAACACTTCACATAATCTTGATTCTATCCCTCTGTTAATGCAGCCTAGCACTATGTTGGCTTTTTTTGGCAGCTGCAGCCACTGCTGGCTCAAATTTAAGTGATTGTCCCCTAGGACTCTGAGACCCCTGTCAGTTACTACTATTGAGCAATGTACCACCTATACTGTACCTGTGCATTTGAGTTTTCTTGCTAAATGTAGAACCTTACTTTTTTCCCCATTGAATTTCATTTTGTTAGATAGTGCCCAATGTTCAAGTATACCAAGATCCTTCTGTATCTTAAGCCTATCTTCTGGAGTGTTGGCTATTCCTGCCAGCTTGGTGTCTTCTGCAAATTTGATGACTTCCCCTTTTATCCCCGCATCCAAATCATTGATGAAGATGATGGGCCCAGAACAGAGCCCTGGGACACCCCACTACACACTTCCCTCCGTGTAGATGCAATTCCATTGAGGACCACACACTGAGTACAGCCAGTCAGCCAGCTATTATTATTATTATTATTATTATTATTATTATTATTATTATTATTATTATTATTATTATTATTATTATTATTATTATTTATTGAATTTATATCCCGCCCTTCTCCTTGCGGACTCAGGGCGGCTGACAATCAGTTAAAAAATACACCAATAACAATTACAAAATTAAAATTAGTTAAAAAGAAATATTTAAATGTTGTCTAATTAAAATATAATTTAAAACCCCTCTAAAAATTGCCCTAGGCCAGTCCCGCTTGTTGGAATAGCCATGTCTTGAGGGCGCGGCGGAAGAAAGGGAGATCAGGGATCACCCTGATCTCTGGGGGCAGCTCATTCCAGAGGGTGGGAGCTCCCACAGAGAAGGCCCTCCCCCTTGGGGTCGCCAGCCGGCACTGTCTGGCCGACGGCACCCTGAGGAGACCCACCCTGTGGGAGCGTACTGGCCGATGGGAGGTAATCTGTGGCAGAAGGCGGTCTCGAAGCTATGAATCCTTTTGGTGGTGAGGCTGTCTAACCCACATTTTTCTATCTTATCAAGTAGTAGGTTGTGGACTACTTTATCAAATGCCTTACTGAGGTCCAAGTAAATTATATTCACAGCATTCCTCTGGTCCACTAATTTTGTCACCAAAGAATGCAATAACATTTGCCTGGCGTGATCTGTTTTTGACAGACCCATGTTGGCTTTTGGTAATGACTTTGTTTGCCTCTATTTGCCCCGCTGATTCGTTGCTTGATTATACTTTCCAGAATCTTCCCAGGTATTGTGGTCAAGCCAATAGGTCTGTAGTTTCCTGGATCCATCCCCCCCCCTTTTTTGTTGAAGATGGGAACTACATCAGCTCTTTTCTAGTCCTCTGGTAGTTCCCCAGTGCTCCAGGATCTTTGAAAGATATAGTTCAGTGGTTCCGAGATCGCATCTGCCAATTCCTTCAGAACTTTAGGGTGTCATCTATCTGGTCCTGGTGATCGGAACTCGTCTAGAGTAGACAGGTGCTCATTTACCATTTTCTTGCCTATCTTAACTTATGTTTCTAATCTATTTTTATGATACTGTTTTTAATAGGTTGGACTGTTTTTTCCCTTTGCGTAAAGATGGATGCAAAAAAACAAGTTAAGTAGTTCTGCTTTCTCCCTGTTGTTTGTCACCTTCTTGCCACTTTCTCCCACTAATGGACCGATCATTTCCTTAACTTTTTTCTTGTTTTTTACATGTTGAAAGAAGTTTTTTGTTGTTGTTATTTTTGACTTTTGTCACAAGCCTTGGTTCATTTTGAGCCTTAGCTTTCCTCACTTCATCTTTGCAGGCTCAGGCTATTTGCTGATATTTTGCCTTAGTTATGGTGCCCCTCTTTCCACTTTTTATATTTGTCCTTTTTGTCTTTCAATTTATCAGAGAGTTTTTTATGCAGCCATGCTGGTTTCTTTTGAGAGCTGTTATTTTTTTCTTCGTTGGTATTGTGCTAGACTGGGCTTTTATAATTTCACTTTTCAAATTTTCCCAAGTTTCTTGAGTTGTTTTCCCCTTGAGGATTCTTATCCATGGAATCCTTCCCAAGCTCCCCAAGTTTATTGAAATTATCTCTTAAAGTCTAGGACTCTTGTTTGGCTATGTTCTATTGCTTGTGCTTCCATAATGTTGAATTCCAATATTGCATGATCATTCTCCCCCAAGGCTCCTGTGACTTCAACACCTTCTATCATTTTACCTATGTTAATGAGAATTAAATCCAATATCGCTGATCCCCTAGTTCAGTGGTTCTCAACCTTTTTAATGCCGCGACCCCAACCGGTCGTAAGTCGAGGACTACACTGGTTGTAAGTCGAGGACTAAACCAGTCGTAAGTTGAGGACTACCCAACCGGTCGTAAGTCGAGGACTTTCCCTGCCCGGGAGCGCCGCACATGCGTGGTTCCGCCCCCTGCGCCGGCCGAGGCATAGCTGGCAAGCGGCAGAGACGGAACAGGCCAACCACCAGCTGGCCCAGCCCAAGGGAGGTAAGGCACCTGCCGGAAAAGGGGGAAAAATGGCGGACAGGGTTGCTTGGCGACCCCCATGAAATGGTCGATCGACCCCAAATGGGGTCCCGACCCACAGGTTGAGAACCACTGCCCTAGTTCCCTTCTCTACTTTTTGTCTGCTAGGTTGTCAGGAATCTGTTTGATCTTCTACTTGGTACAGAGTTTGTCTCCCAGTTGATGTCAGGGTAATTAAAGTCACCCATTGCTATTGTGATGTGCTTCCTACATACTTTAGTTAATTAACTGACTAGCAAAAAGTTCATTTATTTGCTCTGATTGGTTGGGTGGCCAATAGTATGGCAATGTCATTTTTCCCCCTTTTATATTGATCCAAATGCATTCAAGACAGTTTTCATCATTGTTGTTCTATTTCTGTAGAGATGTAGTTATTTCTTATATAGAGAGCAACTTCACCTCTTTTATTTGGTCTGTTTCTTTTAAATGATTTAAATTTCTCTGGCTGTGTGTTCCATTTGTGGGTTTCATCCCATCAAGTTTCTGTAATGGCAACAATAACATATCTGCCCTCATTTACCTGAACTTCTAATTCACCCTTTTTATTGCTCATACTCTGTGCATTGGTGAATAGACATTTGAGTCCTTTATGACTGATCCTGTGTTTACTTTCTATATAACCTGTGTGGTGCCTGAGTTCCCCTATTTCCTTAGCACCTGTTTGATTAGTGCACTTGTTGTGGCACTCACTATTAAAAGCTATAAAAATTTTATTATGTCCTTTTTTGTATCATTACAATTCCATTCCCTTTTATAGTCTCATGCCCTGTTTAATATAATATAATATAAATAATATAATTTAACCACTTCAGTTCAGGTACATCTAGTAATTTTCTTAAAAAATCCAATTTATACTCATTTCAACTCTGAAATTTTATGTTTTCCTTGGTTTGTGATTGCCACACTCTGCTGAGGTAGAAAAACTGAATAGATTCAGTGATTCTGAAAGCAACATTGATGGGTATAATAACTTTTGGTGGGATGCTGATGAAACCAAAATGGGAAGAAATTTAAGAGTAATTCATAACAAGAGCAAAGGGAATCTGCAGGCCAGTCCATCTAAAACAGCAAAAAAAAAAAAAATCAAATCTGAAAGAAGGCATTGTACAGGTTTGTGCTTTATAGCCAATAAATATTTGGACAGTTAGATGCCAGCTGATGGAATCTCTCTCCTCAAGATGGCTTCTTTGAAGTATCTGAGGGACAATGTGACCAGACCAAAAGCACAAGGAAGTCTGTTCACTGATAGTGCTAGCATTCCTTGTTTTACAAGAACAGCTGCAACTGGAACATTTGCAATATTACTGAATTTAAATATATACTGTAGATTCCATAATAGGAGAGGGAGAGGAAGAGGGAGAGTTCTTGCAACTCATGTGACCTGCTCAAAGAGGCTTCCTCAAGTGAGTAATTTAATACAGGAATGAGTTGAGAACTCCCCAAAATTTCATCTCTTGAAATCCTATCCTACTCAGAGCAAGTTATTCTCCTTCTATACACAAGAGAAAATAAAACAATCTGGCAGCAAAGGAAATGTCTTTCTCAGGACAAAAAGGAAGGGAATTGATCTGACTTAGAGTTACCACAGCAGCATTGTAAACATCCAGGCAGGCATTAGATGACAGCAAACAGATATATAATACTCCAATTCTTTGATGGCATCTTGTAGCCTGGATGTGTGCAGGCCAGAACTGGTAGCCCTAACATGGTTGCAAAAAACTTAAACCATATAGAGCATGGCTATTAATTTACCTGTTTGTATATAAGGAGGAAAGGAAATCATCTTTCCATGAATCTTTCATCATAGTAGATCTCAGAGTTTTTCTGTCTATGCAAAGAGAAAAGGATCCCCTTTTTTCTGTATAGACAGATCAATGTTTGTTTATATAGATTTACGTGTTTCTCTCTCTCTCTGTGTGTGTGTGTGTGTGTGTGTGTGAGAGAGAGAGAGAGAGAGACCAAACTGTGTCTGATTATGGTAATGCTCTCTCTGTAATTATGTTCTATATGCAAAAAAATCCCATACTAATCTTGAAAATAATAAAGTAATTTACTTAAAACACATTACTCCATTAGGTAATTATGTGAAAAAACAATTCCCAGTTGAGAATAAATTATGTGCTTTTGTTAATCATTACTGTGCAGACTTGATATATTTTCAATTAAATCAAGCCCATATTACTCTACTCAACGGAGTTCATGGGACTGATCTAATTGCTCTCTGTTGGATTTAAATTCTTCTCAGAAATGACACATTGCTAAAACTGAACTTAAAACGATCTATTTGAAGCGGATCTATTTGAAATCAATGGGACAAGTGGTAAGGATTAATTTGCGCCCTATTTCAATAGGTTTTCTTGGATTGCAGTAACTGATGCTGGATCCAACCCTCTTTCTTCCCGTCGTTTTATTACTATAAGGATCTGACGGATGAGGAAACAAAGACTGTGCGGCATTATTACTCACCAGTGACTCGAATAGACTCAAGCATCCTTTAGCACGTGAGGTGTAGATTACAAAGGGATCTCGCCTCCTCACTTTTTACCAGGGTACTATTCTAAAATTTCGGGGGCAGTTCCAAGGGGACAGTTGGATAGAACGAACACGGGGAACTAGGGACACAAGTTCCTGGGCTTCTGTCAAAATTGTAGCCCTGGAACAAGGCGCTGAACAGCGGCGACAGCAATTCGAAAGGCCGCTTCCCTTCCTTTCCCAAGCTCCAAACAGCGGCTGGACCGACTCTTTCGCTCCTCGCCGGCCGTTTCTTTATACGGGGTCATTGGAATCGTCAGTAGCTGCTGGCTGGCCTAGTTGCTAGGACACCCCCATTTCCCGCAAATCACAGAACAGCTCCAGTAAGGAAACGGTACCACGATAGCTTGCAGATGCGCAGTGCGACTGGTAGTTCAGGATCTCATCGGAAACCACATTTCCCAGTATACAATGCGCCGAGAGACACACGTGAGTATGCTGGGAATTACGGTCACCGTAAATGGAGCGTGATTGGATCAGCAGAGCACGTAACCGCTGTATTATAGTTATGGTCGCCTGTTTATTGACGGTTAAATTTCCAGATAGTTTGATTTAATTTCCCATACATTAGAGATTATTTGATTAGAGTTGGTCTATTGCAAAGGAAATGTAACTCGCTGGGAAGACCTGTCAGTGGACGGGAAGGCTACTGTCCTGCTGAGAAAGCCAAAACACAGGGACATAGACTCTTTAGGAGCGGATTGGTTATCCCAAGGATGCTTTTTCACGAGACAATTGGACTTTCTTGTGTTGTTGCTTTTTGTGAAGATTTTCGCTTCTCATCCAAGAAGCTTCTTCAGCTCTGACTGGATGGTGGGGAATGGAAGGATTTATACTCCTTGCAGACAGCTGTTCATTTGCATTCTTTTAGCGAGTCTTTAAATCTACCTGGAGGCTTCTCTATGTCTTCAGGGTCACCTGAGTTGCACAAATGGGTGTGGAGCCTTATTGGAACTGTTGAAAGGACTGTGTTGTAGATTGGAGATAGATGATATTGGATCCCTCTATCTCTTGAGAGAGGGCTGTTCAGTTTTGACATAGATGGCCTCTTTAACCCCTCTTTCAAACCAGCTGCCCTCTCTATCCAAAATGTGGCCTTTGTCTTTTAAATGCAGATGGGCTGCTGACTCTTGTCCTGATGGGTTTGTTCTCCTTTGTTGTGCCATACATTTACTGTATGAAGTTGTTTCATTTCCCCAACAAAATGAAACAATAACTTCATAAACGTATGGCATAACATAGGAGAACAAACCCATCAGGACAAGAGTCAGCAGGACAAGAGTCAGCAGTCCATCTGCATTTAAATTAAAGATAGAGTTGGTTGAATCTTGTTGGTACTATAAAATAGCAGGGCTATAGGCTAGACTGGAAAGTAAAGTAAAATAAAATCCTGCAAAACATGGCAAACCATTTTCATATTACTATCAAGAAAATTACACAGATATGTTCATGCACTCACCAGGAATAAAAATTTGTCGGACACTTTTACTTGAAATTAATTGAGTGAGATCAGTCCACTGAACCATTTTTTTATATATAGTTTTTAGTACACATGGCATAGGTGGCATACTTGTGTGGGAAATCACCCCCCCCAGAAGGAAATATTAAAAGGGCAGAATATTATAGTTTGTCAAAGGATCTTAAAGAGGCAGAAAAGCATGCCCAGTTTTTCTTAATAGCCCCAAGTCTCCCTCCCCCAAGCAGAAACCAGCTCTGTAGAAATGCAGATGTGATAATCCATTCAGGAAGGTTGGAGCCCTCCAGCTAGAAGCTTAGGAAGACAAAGACACCTAAAATCTACATACTCCACCCAAACTCTAAGACAGGGCATAATAGGATTAACCCACAGATGCCAAAGGGGCACACTCAGACTCAGGTCAAAGTACATGATACAGGAAATACAAAGCCTCAAACAGGAACAAGAAACCTCAAGAGCCCCAGAGGGTATAAAAACCCACTGCCTACATGTGCTCTCTCTTTTCTTCCAGAGCCATCTTTCTGTCTTCAATAAACTTTCTAAAACAGTTGCCATGTTGTTTATTCCCAGCTTGGACTGAACCCTGATGAAGACTTTTCCTTCAACACTTGCTCATACATAATGATGACTTCAGACTATATTCTTTTGCAGACTTTTCCTTGAATGATTCAAGAGTGTTGTATCATCAGTCAATCATACTTGTTTTTGGAAGCAGCTTTGTACTTTGGGAACCTCCAAAGCCTGAATAAAACTTCTGAAGAGATTGAAAGGACTAGATATTATTGCCTTATGTCTTAATATATTAAATACACATTTATTTAAATAAATAAACATTATTTATTTAGGGAAATCTACATGCTAGATACAATGCAGTCCTTACAACCTAAATTGCTATTTCATTCTGTTTGGCACTTGTGTGCCTATCCTTGGTGCACTGGAGGGGACGAACTAGCTGTAAGGTAATCAGAATAGAGCTGGAAGATACCTTGGGAGGTCTTCTAGTCCAACCCCCTGCTCGAGCAGGAGATGCTATTCCATTTCAGACAAATATGTAATCAGAATAGAGCTGGAAGGGACTTTGGAGATCTTCTAGTTCAACCCTCTGCTCGAGCAGGAGACCCTATACCATTTCAGACAAATGGTTGTCCAATCTCTTCTTGAAAACCTCCAGTGATAAAGCATCTACAACTTCTGAAGCCTATCTGTCCCACTAATTAATTGTTCTCCATTAGGAAATTTCTCCTTCAGTCCAGGTTGCTTTTCTCCTTGACTGATTACTTTCCATCCATTGCTTCTTGTCCTGCCTTCAGATGCTTTGCAGAACAGGTTGTTTCCCTTTTTTGTGGCAGCCCTCAAATATTTGAAGACTGCTGTCACGTTACCTCTTCTCTTTATTAGACTAACAGAATCACAGTATTGGAAGGACCTTGGAGATCTTTTACTCCAACCCCCTGCTCAAGCAGGATCCATTTCACACAAATGGTTGTCAGTCTCTTCTTCAAAGCCTCCAATGATGAAGCACCCACAACATCTGGAGGGAAGTCATTCCGCTCATTTAATTGTTCTCGCTGTCAGGACATTTCAAAATGTTTTGGCTTTGTTGCATGGAGGCTAAAAAAAAAAAATCCAGCTTATACCAGCTGATTGGTGGCACTTGGCCCTTGGGTTCTTTTGGCCTCCTCTGCCGGTTTCAGCTCATTAGGTGTTATCTTGAACAAAGTAGATCTGCTACAGCAGAGGCCCCAACCTTTCTAGCTTGGCGGCCCGGAGGGAAAGGAAGGGGCAAGCATGGGGCTGCGTGTGCGCATGAGACGCAAATGGGGCAGTGCTAGCCCCCATGTGATGCTCAGGACAAGGCTAGTGCCTGCACAACACTCAGGACAGCACTAGCACAAGTGGGAGGGAGTTTGCATACTGGCCAGCCATTCACGCGGCCTGGTGGCCAAGGCCCTGTAGTGGACTGCAGCCCAGAGGTTGAGAACCCGTGCTACAGTATCTTTTTTTGCAACGTAATTTAGCACATGAATTATTTTGCATATATCCTATTGTTATTGCTAAAGGAGATATAGCTCCATTTAATGTGCTCCAGAATGTTTATTATCAGTTAATTTTAAAAATATTTTGTTCTAGAACATCTTCATCTTAATGGACTACATGCAAATATGACTTTGAATGTATACTTATACATTATGTATTTAAACATTAAATATGCTAGCTTCAGATCTCTAAATGATTCTAGTACCTTGAAGATGTAAGATCAAATGGACTTACTTAAATCTTGAATAAACTTGAAGCATTTGCTACAGAAGTGGGTGATAAATGACTGGATAAAGGATACATAACCAGAAAATAATGTCTGGGGATACTTTGGCTATGTTCTGTGCATGTACATATTGATATAAATAATTCATTCTTTGAATAAAATAAAAATTAGATTAATAATGCTAATTATGTAATGAAAAGACACTGATTTAATGTATTGCTGAAAAGCAAAGGATGGAAAAGAGCTTTTGAAACATCAAGGAAATGAAAATGTTTTGTCAATCTTGCTTTCCATCCAAAGAATCTTTTTTCAAAAATTCAAAAAACTGAGAAATGTATAAATGTATAAAACTGACGACGATCTGCAATATTAGAATGTCACCGCTTTCATTTGTTTTGGAAAGTTAACGGAATTATACGTTCCTCCCTGATTTTCAAAAGGTAGAGGAAAGCTAAAATCTCCCTGGTCTTCCTCACTAGCAGGGTTATCCCATCGAAGTCCAATATAAATCACAAAGAATTAAGGACCCTAACTTTATATAGATCTGCAACTAGGATTTTCTATTTCTGAAGTTCTAAGACTATACAAACGTCTTTTTAAAGATTCCGCCAATTTCATAAACTGATTATGAACCACTACCATATAAGGACGCCACAAGCCTAAAACAGGGCGGCTGTAAATTGCTAAGACGCAACCTGGGGAATGTGGCTTATGAATCATTGGCTAAAAAATCTTGTCAATCATTCTCTTCACTGTTCTACGATCGCTTTGCCGCACAATCAGTTTAGCAGGATTGCTAAAAGGCGGAATTCGGTTGAACTTCACATTAAGTGCGAAAACCCGCGTGAGACAAGGCGGATGGGCGGAGCAGCCGCCGCTTGCGAGTGAGGCTCATGCGTAGTACGCAGCTTGCCTGTGGCAGGCGCTGAAATTCAAATCTGACTAGCAGTTATCATTTGGTAAGAGTAGTGAAGTAGCTTGGTTGCAGACGGAGCGAGCGGCTTGTAAAGATGGATCCTTTCACCGAGGTACGTGATTACCCCCTACTTGGTGGCTCAATGAGGTGATTTGTTAAGTGTGGCCGAGGATAAGGGAGGTGGGTAATGAGAAAGGTGGGCAAATTGTGCGGTGTAGAGAAGAACAGTTTTAATGGAAGAGGAAATGTTGGGGAAAGAAAATATCTGCAAGCAGACAGCTGAGTTTAGAGAGCACCAAGGACTCCATATTCAATCCAGAGCAGCATATATTCGCTTCTTGAGATAGGAAAGGAAATATTATCAAGAAAGGATAGTGAAAAGAGAACCAGATACTTCCCCCCCCCCAAACCTGACATGCCCGATTACTTACAAGTAAAATCTAATAAATGGAGATTCGGTTTCAACTAAAAGGCCGAAATGCAATGCATTCATGAAATGTAATTCAGTTAATTTGTATTTA